TAAAGCTTTGCCCTTAGACAGAGAATTTGGAAGCTGAAGAGAGTACTGCAAGGAACGATATGTGATCAAAACTCTCTCTCGAAATTTCGATATACAGAAAATATATAGAAAATATCATTTTTGTTTAAGAAAAATATCTTGTGCTTTATTTTTATTGTACTGCACAAAATGATACCTTAATCTGAAATTCGGAAAAAAGAAAAAGCGATCGTATACTCATGGACATAGTTCATAACGCTACTAATTAATTTAAAAATAAATTAAAAATTGCTTTCACTCACGCAGCGAATTTATAGAAAAATGTATTTTCTGACGTAAATTTCAGCAGAAACATCCGAGGAATGCTGACACGTTGAAAAATACCGAATGTAAACAACGAGCTCTTGCCAAATGTTCCAGCTTCACCCCACTTTTCCGATCGTCGACGATGCAATTAGCACCGTTCGCGCGACGACGAAGCGCAGCGACTCGGTAATTACCGCGGCTTTGCGTGGGCGCGTCCAGAAACGCGATGGAAATAAATATAAACGACGCGCCGCGCGGTTGGCTGCGCGAAGGCATCGCGAGCGTCAACTTCGTGGATCGCTACCGGTGGGTCCTCCTTAAACTTGATTTGTGCTCAATTACCGTAATCCTCTGTCCTCCCCATTCCCGCCTCGCTGTAAGCCAACGCGAGACGCTTGCGAATGTCGCGACGATTTTATTTATACGCGCCGCGAGCCAACCAGCCACGTCTCCACGGCGTCGCGGCGCAACAGAAAGAAGAAAAAAGAACGAAAAAAAAAATGGGGAAGAATGATGGAAAGAAAAGTGAAGAAGACGCGTCGCGCATATTCCGCCGTGTACCGATGCAATTCGTTTCGCATTTTATATCCGGCCGCGAGCGGTCTCACCTTTCCCTGCATCCCGAACCCCCTCTGCCGGTTCCGACGATACGTCGAGCATGCACGTTCGCCCGATTCATCCCCGTGGAACGACGGCAACCTGGATTATTTCGATCTTCGCTGCCGCTAAAGTTAGCCAAAGAGATTACTGCGGCGCGACACGATTTCATCCACGAGGGGAGGGAAAGAGGAGAGGATGCAAGAGCGGAGGGGCCGGGTTGTGACGCGACTACGTCGTTTAAATATCACGGTAAACAGGGCCCGCAGTAATTCGGATGCCGGCGCAGGTGCCACGCGGAAACATCTATCAAGATGGCGAGATTGGGGGTGCAAGACCCAGCCCATTCCTCGTTGGGAGAAAGGGCGGCGGGAGGATAGGGTGAGGTGGATCAACTCGAAGAAACGGGGAATTTCTCTCTCTGTCTCTCTCCCCGCGGGACAGAAAGGACTAAGCTTTCACAGGACGGCTCTAACGTCGTCTTAACCCTTTCCGGCTAATACCGAATCGTAGGGAATTAACGGTCGCGACGACGATCGTGTTCACGAAAACCTGTCCTCGAAGTAATGCGGTTGGCTGTCTAATAATTTACGAGTTCCGAAAATATCCGGGGAAACTTTATTGAAAAGCGATTGTCATCGCAAAAGAGAGAAATTGGAGAAATCCTTGGAATATAAAATGCAGCTTCGCGGCGGAGAGCGCTACACCATTTTTTGCACCTAACGGGTAACTCGATCCTAAATTTACATACGTTCTGTGGAATCATTTATCAACTTCAAAAATAACGTGCGATTACTTTGTAAGTTTACCAAAAACAATTCGATATAAGAAAATTATTACCTAAACATAGAGATCGTCATATCGCTAAAATTATATCTACCGTTTCTCTCCTTTTAAATAACAAATCGCAGATATTTAAACTACACTTTGTACCGTGTATTAATTTACGAGCATTGGAAATATCACAATTGCTTGGAACTTGGTCGAGAAATAATCGTTATACAATGTAAAATAAGGACTTAAGAAGAGAATTATTCTATTATGATAAATGGACTAACAATTTCTGTGCTCGTAATAATTAGCTTGGATGTTAAATAAGCAATACGTTGTAAGGCGTTGCAAGGTTGACAATGTCTGATAAAATTCTACGTAAAGTAGGACTTAAATTTATTATTGTAACGCATAATAGTCACGCAGCAATTTATTGATTACCGCCATTAAAGATATAATCTTTAAATATCTCGCAGACTACATTCCTGGTAAATTCGTATGCACCAAAACTGTTTCCTTCGTAAATTGCGAATGTACCAAAAAACGGCCGTAAAGCTTTAGCGTATATTATCTCGTAGCAATCTCTCGCGCACTTGTCTTTTTTTTCAACTCATCATTTTTAACTGTCTGTGCAAACGTTTCGTAATCAACGTGTCTCGTTTGTATCCACTACGGTTATCTGCGAATTGCCTACGTTAATGGTAAACGATTTGCGGGCCGTAAATATGCGTCCCGGCCGTTAACGTAATCGCCAGTACAATCGTGCCGCAACTTATCGGTCGCACCTGCGACGACTGCGATGATGTCTTCACGAAATGTCTTCGAATGTGGATGAGTCTACCTACCGGGTCGTAGGAACGTGAAACATTTCCGCAACAAGTTATTGCCCTCGCAAAAATCGAGATAACTAGCGAGAATACTTGCGAGATAACGGGAATAAAGATAGAATCGCGAATCAGTGCCTGGTTACTATCAGGCAATTGCAACCGACTCAAATACTGTGTCTACCGGTATGTTAGTCATTATAGTAGAAAGCACAAAAAAGAAAAAAGAGTGAAGATATCTCGGAGCGAAAGAAAATTTCGTAACAAACAGGAAATTGCGAAAACGACTGAGGAAGAGATTGGCGAGGTTGCGACTGACGATCCAGATACGAAAATCGTAAAGTTGCTATGTAACAGCGACTAGTATAATATCCAGTACGGTACTCTTCGCGCTAAGATTAAAGGTGCGTAAAGCGAACGCGGCGCATAAACGTTTTAGAAGCTCTTCAATTCTATGGCTACAAGACTGCGCGACCAGCGCGAGCGAGATATTATTTTAAACGCTACATTACATCCGTGTGGTGCGCCAATATTACGCTGTTTCCCCGTTCGATATTGTTAAGATGCATTTATATTATTGGAGCATGAACCAACCAGAGCAACAGTACATTCATTATAATGTGTGTAATAATTAAGAGCAAACAAATTCGTTCAACCCAAATGAAAATGCCTTTTACAATACTCACATGGCAAATCTAATACGATGTGAATGGCGTTTTGGAAAATAAGTTTTGATATTTTATCGAAATATCTCGCATAAAGAAAATAATACAAAGGATATTAATCGCTAACGAAGGAATTCTGTGATAGCGCAAATACTTCCACGAGCACGAATGAACAAACGTATACAATTATAGATATAAATGCATAGATACTTGGCCCTGCGAAAATGATAGTGTAATCAGTAATGTGTTGGCCATGACATAAAAAGTTATACGTCAAATATTAGCAAAAAGCGAATTTTTGCGCAGCGAAGCAGCAACGATCTAATATTTTCATAGAGCGTAACAAAGGATCTCTAACGCATCAATGTACATCCAACGCGATAAAACACACTAGAGAAGAAGCATTATGTACCGCGAATGCGAGCAAATGAATTGTATGGCAAAATATGAGGATTACTGCGATGCATTATGATGTAAAGTTACGTAACCCGATATTTCCGGTCAATGATGATGTGATCGAGGCAAAATGTTTTCAACATCGTAACGATCCGGAATAAATTTCGGTTTATCGAGGACGGAACGATCTCTCCGCCATAACTTTTTAAGTATGACGCGGAATTTAGTGTTAATCCCCTCGGTTAATCCTATTCTTAATAACGGTTGATTTTATAACTCCTCGAACTTAAGAGCAAACGACAATTAACGTCTTCTTCATACATACGTTCTATATTTTATATTTATACATACTTCTATATTTTTAACCTTATGTTATGAAACTGCTCGCTCAGATCATATACACATATGATCTCATTTATTCTTCCCTTATCTCTCTCATGGTTCTATCTTTCCAATTTATATACGATATGCGAAACACAACTGACTGACATATTATTTAATTCTTGCAATATTTTATAGAATTCTTTTTTTCTGTATCAAAATACGATAACGATCCTGAAAATCTCACGAATACAAAATTCGTTCGTCGAGATTACGTAAGCGTCGCAGTGCAACGAGCAAAACCGTGAATATCGATGACGCACGTGTGTCAGAGCGAATTAAATCGAAGTCAGGGAACTACAGTTGCAATCAGCGCTTCCTTGAGGTCATGGAAAAACACAAATTACGGAAATCAGCCCGCCCGTTTGACTCGCTGACACGCATACTACGCCTACCGCGCCGTTTGTACTCGCGTGATTGGCGCGCTGAAATAATCAGCTTGTTGCAACGTCAACGTGCAATCGCTGGTGTGCCGAGCCCCGGTCGTGCACGCCTCGTTCCGTTTGATGTACGGGCGTAATTTCAGGGTGTCTGGAATTCGCATATGACACGTGCGACGTGCCGTATGATTCGACGCCCGTTCGCCGCGCTCTCATGCCCGCCGGTCTAGAAAAAGTTTCTCGCTTGGCACGCATGCAGAGCGAGCGAGCGAGCTTTCGATCGTCGTCGCTTGGGAAGACTCGATCATGGCCGAGAGATAAATTTGTTTACACTTGCGAACACGCAAAAGTCTGAATACACCCTATAAAATTCCTCGATTATCTCATATTTTTCATGACAAATGTTTAGAATGAAATATATACCAAATTTTTGAACGATTTATTTCCATTCTGTGCAGCGCATTTTATATTTAATGAATTTTTTTCAACCACACACATATTAAAATTGGAAATGACAATCAAAAATTCAACACATTAAAATTGGAAATAATAATAAAAAATTAAAAGAGTCGCGTATTAAATTTTAAAAGTCGATTTTCTCATAAAGTTCTTTTATGATATGCAATTTTAGTACCTGAAAATTATAACTATTTTACGCGCGGTAGAATAGTTATATCGTGTATAAGAAATAATGCACTCACCAGTTGTTAACTTGAAGAATCGTCAACCCCGTGTCCTGTGCCAACTGTTTTTTCTGGTCTTCCGAGGGATATGGATGCTGCAAAAAGAATAAATTCGCTCAATTAGAAATAAAATTGAATACAAACAATCTCGCGTACTTAAGTAACTATTAATGCAACACAAGTCAAAAACTCGTGTACTTAGAGAGCGAAATTGCCAACGAAAGATTGCAATTATTGCATACTAGTCCCAATAGAACGGTTATACGTTGAACGCAACAATTAACGAACATAAAATGCGAAGATAAAAAAAAACAATTTTCTCTTTCTCGGTCTCGCTCTACCATCGCTTTACCGTTTCGCGTTTCTCGCCGACGGACGCATGGCGGGGCTTTCAAATAATTTATCGAGTGATTTATCGCACACCAAGGTAAGTACATAGAACAGTGCATCGCGCGCGCTGACTTTTATCTGCGCGACGATCCACGCATTACAGGCGCCGTATCGTCTAGATGCACCTGCGAAATATTATTTATTGCTGGCCAACAACAATAAAAAAAACACACAGGCACACAGAAAGAGGAAGAGGAGGAGGCGGTGAAAGAGACAGCAGCTACAGCAAAAAGTTCCTTTTATATATCGCGCTCTCGGACGACCGCTTTTTATCGCGCGGTTGCATCGACGCAGATGCACTCGCACTACGCCAAAACGATGCGCCAAGCGCGACACGCCGCTCGTATTGCCCCTCTTCGCAAAAGAAAAACTGTACGAGTGCACACCGAAGAAATGCAAGAAGAATACTGATGTAGTAGAGGAACTCGGCAAAACGAAAGATTCGTTCGATTTCAAATTTGAATATTACTGTAAAATAAATTATTATAATAAAAAGAAAAAAAAAGATAAAGCCGCTTATTTACACAAAATATTAAATAGACCAATAAAATAAGTACAACTGGAGTATTCTTTATACATATAGTCCATTTTTATACATATTCTTTATACATATAGTCCATTTTTATGTATCATTAAATCTTTGGCTGTCTCGTGTCCATCATGGGAAATTTGGATAGATAAATTATAACGCTCACCGGATATTCCATCGATCTTGTGCCATAAATTCGTGCAACTTCCTAACCGTTCTTTCGGAAAAGTTACTGCGAGCATTAATATCAAGAACCGAATCTTTCCGATGTTACGCAGTCAACCCTGTGCCAAGCTTCTAAAAAATGTATGACACGCATATGCGACATTGCGCACCTGCATGCTACGTCAAGCCCGGTATCTTTGTTCCCGCATGATATTAACCTTCGCAGAGTTCAAGTGAATCCTTTTTGAATACGTAACGCAATGTCGGCGGTCGCGTTGGACAATTTCTTTCATAATAAAATCAAAGCTAATTAATTCGTTAGGGTTGGTTTATAATAGCCGTAACCGTTGATTTAAGCCGTAATCTTTAAGAAATTGACCAATCACAGTCGAATATTCTTCTCACATTCGACTGTGATTGGTCAATTTCTTAAAGATTACGGCTTAAATCAACGGTTACGGCTATTATAAATCAACCCTTAACGTGATTCAAATAATCAGTGGCGCACATTTAATTCAAAAAATATCTTCGCTTTATAATTAAAGAACGGAGAATTAATTAAACCAAATGGACTGATCTTCACGAAACTTACTTGAACGGAATAAAATCTTTGCGGTCGGAATTGAGAGATACCCATACTCTGAAGAGCATTAAAAAAAAAATTCTGCACGCGATGTACAGAAAACAGTCACCGACGCTCAATTACATTACACCTAGCGAGACGTATTAATTTCGAGGGCACAGGCACATCTCAATTTTAATCTCGCATTAACCGCAATTATGAAATTAGACGCACGTAATCGTCACAAGTAAATAGTCCGCCGACAGTTGCGTTCCCAATGGAGACGTTCCCTACGAAGACTATCTATCCGCGACACGCGAGGATTATGTTAGTCAATTTTCTCGATGTAGAAGAAAAACAACGAAGTCTTCTCGACCAAAAACTACTTCAGCATTGATTATTTCCTGTCTTGTTGCTCTACATTCAATCTCTAATGCCGGGTACTCAATAGGCCCTGCAACGTGCAACGCGGTTGCTACAATTTTTTCACAATGAGTTTGTTGAAATAAGACGTACTCACTAGTTGCAGCAACTAGGGCCTATTGAGTACCCGGCACAAGACACTAATATATACAATTAAGAAACATATTCAACCAGCGTATTTATTAGACATACCTCATGATATACTTGCATTAAATTTAATACAAAATCAAGGTTACGCAACGAACAATGGTTGGCTCAGCTTGGCCCGTGCCAAATTATCGACTGGCACGAAAAGATCCGGCCACGCATAAAAGCCGGCGGCTGCGTCGCGAGCCGACGAACCGCATCATATTTTTACATAATTAGCACGTGGCGCCCGCGGTATTACGTCCTCCCTCCCTCACGCTCCCGATCGTTACTTTTTGCCGAAGCTTGCGGTATTTTTGGACACTGCCATAGCCCACAAATCCATCCCCCGGGCCCCACCGCGACCGATGCTGTATCATGTTTCTTGGAGGCGAGCCACGATATACATACATCAGAAGCGTGGCTCCGTTTTCCCCACCCGCCCATCCCCGGTACACCCCATTGTGCGCCGGTGTATATCCGATCCGAGCGATTCTTATCCTAATTAAATCGGCTGAGCGTATTGTCTGGGCGTAGAGTTTCCATCGGATCTCCGTGGATATCTAACGCCGCGTATAAAGCCGCGTCGAGCGGAGAATTGAGACGATCTCGCACGGGCGCGGGGGAACCCCCCTCGAGAGGACGATCCGAACGCGAATCGATGCGCGCTAAATTACAGATTCGTCGACATGATCGACGCACGACATGCGGGATGCCTCGAGTGAATATCCGCGTCAGACCGACTGGCAAGGTGTACGAACTTCATTCGATTATCAAGATCTGAATCGACCACGTATATCAGTTAATTTCCCCTATAATTTTCCGTAGCCATATAGGTGACGAAAAGTTGGTATATTTCACGAGAATTTATACTGACATGTACCGTGAATATGTAAACGGGCACATGCATTATTTTTAACGCTAATGAATGTACCACGAGTAATGATTGAGCATTATTAAATTTATAAACGGAATGTAATAAACGGCCACCTGTCTTACGCTCGTCGATCAGCGATTATTAAACGGTTCTGAATCGCCAGAAATATACGCGATATTTGGTGAAGCGATACTCTGCAGTTTCTCTTTACGGTTCGGATTTTCTAGAGATAAGTTGCCCGTTGGGTTCGTTGGTGTATGCATAAAACAATCAAGATAATTGTCGAAGCTATGTGGGGACTGCCTGGCTGGCTGCTTTCCACCCTCCGCGCGATTCGAGATAGCTGCTGCGAGCGAAGGAGGAAGCAACGGTTGAGGGAGGGAGATGGAAAGCAGGAGCTATCCAATTACATTGAAAACAATAGTCTTAAGTGCTCGTGGCGGTCCGTTCTGGGCTACCCCCCAACCCTGTAGCGTCGATGCTTTTCCACCGACGGTTTCCCATTCCAGGCTGCGTTATAGCCGTGGCGACGCGCACGTTTGATTTCAAAAAGATATTGCCCACGGAATACTACATATCATATAATATACTTATTTTTCTAAGTCTTTCCATTATATCGTTGTACAACATTCATATGCGAAACTGCTCATGGTATTACATTATTATATTTTCAATATTCCGTTAAATAATACATATATATTAATGAGGTATACTTTATAATAAAATTACGATGATATCATCGGTGGCACCGATGACGAAATGGCCCGTTTGGTTCTCTTCATCGAATACAAATCCGAGATGGGAACGAGAGGAGAAAGAAAGGCAGAAGCGACGAGAATGAAACGCGCCGCGTTGCAAGAGCACGATTCAGTGGCCAAACAAGCGATAAAATGAAAATGAGCGGTAAAAAGACAATATGAAAACCATTTGGGTTTTCCCGAGGGCTGGGGCAGGAACGAGCCAGGCGGAAGCGGGGCTAAGTGTGTAAATGAGTCCGTAGTTTAGCCCGATTGCCTCTAGACGACCCCTTTCCGCGGTGCGCAAACCTCATCCACGGCTCGCTACCCTGATAGCAGCACCGGTATAGCTGAAATAACCGTAGTCTTCCTGAGGAGCAAACTGCTCCCTAAGACAATTCTCGAGACAATGAGATCGTTCGTAGCCCGAATTCAAATCAGTACAAATAGACGATGGATTAAATGTCTGTATTAGATGCGGGGCTGTTTCCTGAATTGATGGCTGCTCGCTGGATACTTCCGGGGCCATCTTTGGAATTATTCAATTACGATACTAAATTGAATAAGATATCTAAACTTATCAATACCAGCCAAAATTGAGTTAGTCGCTCGAAACAATTTACGAAGTAGACCGCTAACATTTGCGATACTCACCCGTGTTTAAGAAGTTATATAAAATGAAAATAATACAAATCGTACATTTCGTTCAACGTAATCAAAATTATTTCTATACTTCTTACGATGCAAAAGTATACATGTTACGATTGATCTAATTTCATGAGCGAGACGTAACAGACGTTAAAAAGACATCATTATTCTTTCGTCTCTGGTACTATTCGCGCATTGATCCGCAATTTCGCTCGCAACGTTCCCGCGCGCGAGCGTGACAATTTGCTGGCGCATCGGTTCGATGACGGGGACCGCGCGTGTGCTGCGTCAGGTCGTCGATGCCTGGGACGGGTGGATGGGATGCACATTGGAGCTCTTCCTGGCCTCGTGTCTCTTCGTGTCCTTCGTCGTTCCGGGATGTTACCCCACCCCGTGGTAACCGGGGCTCTCGGTGCCGAATGACACGTCGATGACGACCCGCTGCTGACTCCGACTAACGAGCGGGGCGTTGGGGGCGTGGGAAGCCACCAGAGATCGCGCCTCGTCATCACGCGCCTCGGAGTCCCCTCTTCCGCCTCGCGTCCAGAGAATTCATGTCGAGCGGATGAGGTCGCGAAGCCCGAAGAGGTCACTACGGGTGGCTACGTCGATTTCACATCACCTGATCATCGGATCGT